CACTGATCAGTTTGGAGAACATGACGCGATCCACCCGGACTGACCTAACTGCGGGGATCGAATGTGCCGAATGGGTGCTCATGGTTTCGCTCCCATCCGACCCATACCCTCCTTGTTGCGGGTCTTGCTCCTGCATTTCGGCTGTTGTTTGACCATTTATGGACCGCATATCGGACATTCCATAGGTTAACATTCCTTGCGGTATGGTCCTGAATCTCTGAATAATCACCGCTGTCAAGAGGTGGACATCTAAACCTGCTGAACACCTATACACTTGCGATGCGGAGAAAAATTCCTTTTCAGCAATTTGCCAATTTGAAAATATCACGATATAATTGCAGATGATAAATTATCTAATGTGTACTGGTCATCTGCAATGAGAGCATCGAACATTTACTCAATTTCATACGCATAGCTTATTTTTGGATGCAAAATTATACGTAGAAAAGCTGGTTATATTTCCAAAAACCAGCTTATCGAATCAGGTAGATCTAGTTTGATGCAAAAACATTTTCAAAAACTCTCCGATCAAAAGTAAAAAGGTATGCTTGTAATTCCTTATCATTTCACGGCAGCCCAAATCAAATTCGAATTCAGAAGTTGCTTTATTGGTGTCTAGAGCATGTCGATAATAGAATTCATCTTTTTAGAATGCATCATGTCATGAGCTACAACATGCGCGAAAATCCGAAAAAGAGAGATTTTAGCACAGTACGCTGGCTCTGTGTATGCTTGCTACAGCTACAGTATTTGGTAAAATGATGTGATAACACCCGACGAACCTTCCTTCTTGAGCAATGTCCACATCATTCCACAGTGGTTCTGGTAGATTACTATAATAAGCCCTTGAAGCGCCCATCTCAGCAGGTGCCACTGGAAAAAAAATCACATCTGTAGATTATATTCGATGTGTGAAAATTTGGACAAACTCGGCCTCATAGCTGTGGCGCTTCTTGGACGACGTTGCCTAATTCTTTGATTTGTATTGGGATAGTAGCAATGGTCGGAAAGGTACCCGGAATGTGGCTGCATGTACCAGTCCTCATCCATTCTGGAATATCTGGCTGGTATTTTATTTTTTCTGAATATATGTTGAATTACCTGGGTGAGGTACTCCTGCAGTGAGAGAGATCTGGTTTGTCGTATGTTTTTGATCGTCGCATCGGTCCTTCAGGAGGAAGAGTGCGAGGATCAATGTATGGATCTGAAAAATATTGCATCTTTCATACTGCGCGGCAAATAGAAATTTTGAGAAGTGAATAACACGAAGAGGAATAGATATTATAGATATAATTGCAATCAAAGTAGAAAGAAGGTAACGAAAACTCACCACCACTACCACCTGGCGTTCTGTCATTGTAAGGGAAACTCATCTCACTTCGCGGTCTTTGATACGCTGAGTATTGTTTGCTTTTTCGACTTCTGAGCCTCTAAAACGAAACAGTACCAAGATGTCATACCATTTTAGCTGAATGATCACGTACAAGCCTCAAAGGGTTCTCTTCGTCCATGTCTACAAGTGGCAATGTAACAGTTTGCCCATCCAAAGCCGCAGTGGAGAAATCCACAAGCGTTTCGCCAAGGAAGGAATTCGCTTCGAACTTGTCATAGTCCCAAACAGTAACCTGAAAAATACCCTATCTGATAACATATGCTTATTCAGATCCGGATGCGTTACCTCCAGCACTCGTTCCATGAGCATGGGTTCGGTGATTCCCTGATAGTAAAATGACTCGTTCCAAACGGGTCGAATTGCTTCAGCCAGGACGGACGTTTGACGTCTGGACTTTTCACTGAAAGGTCGCGATGATTCTGAGACTTGAAACGTAGTAACTTGATCCTTACCTTCTGTCTGGCAGAAGAAACACTTTCACATAGGGATTCCTCGGGGTCCCATCAGAACGGGGAGGGAGGTCGGCTACTCGCTCTATGCACACTGTCAGCTGCCGCTCGATATGCGAGAAATACAGGGAGATCTAAAGGATTTTCTTAGAAATAAGAGTATTGAAACTCTTAGTCTGTGTCAATTACGTACTCCCTTTTGGTAGGAACTACGCATGCGCAACGCGAAGGCTTTGCGTGCGGACATTCAATCGATGAAGCCAATTTGAATACCTATGCCATACTCGCGCGAACGCGAACGTGGGAGCTCCGGTATGGAGATTGCGCTTACGGAAAAGGGAGCACATGATTGACATAGATTATAGTTGAATAAGCAACCTCGATCCGACCAAATATCTGGCCACGGCTGTAGCTTTGTCCCTTGTAAGTTGGTACCCTTCGCACTGCAAAAAAATACTTCTAAAACCAAGAAATAAAAAAGCAAAGGAATCAGCCTACTAGTCTCATACTGGTCAGTGGGTATACTTGTGCGATATCGAGGACTCATTTGAGGGCGAAGAGCAAGGGTGGCCGATTGTGAGTGCGAGAGCGTTGGCAGCGGGAAGAGGGGAGAAGCAGACGGAGAAGCATAGGCTTCATTTTCTGAACATGTCTTTTTTTATTAGTGCTCTCGCATCAGCTGAAGGGGAAAAGCATTCATCTTCCACTAATTTCAATTTGCCGAGGTGGAAAGCTCCTATGTGTTCCATGCTATCTCATAAAGTGTTAACTTCACACATTAGCAAACCATTATGCATTATGCAAA